TCGCACGGCAGCCGCACGCTTCCAAGAGCGGGATCAGAGCCTGCGAGCAGAGGCGCAGGAGTAAGACACAACAACATCGAGCTGCAAAATCAGCCCCTGAAAACTCCCGGCGTGGGCCGGCTTCCAGCCCCGTCTCCAAACAGATCCCAGTTTCACTCCTCCCTGGGCTGGAGTTACTGGTGCCCTAAATCAATCCGTGCATGATCCGACAGTTCTGATCAGCAATACAGGAGAATTTGGCCCCCTCTGGGCAGGGGCCGGGGGCTCTGGTACAGGCAGGGGGGGGGGTTGGGGTGACTGAGGGGACAGGCATGGTCTCAGTTTGCCCCTTTTCAGCAGTTTTTGTCTTGCTCACTCCGATCGTGTGTCCTGGAGGGCAGTGGCTGGGGTGCTGGGAGGCTGCTTCTCCCAGACAGCTTTTTTTGGGTGTATTTTCTTGCTGGCAGCTCCTTAGCAAAGCCGGGCAGCCGGGTGGATCACCCAGCAGAGGGTGATATTCCCGTGGGACCGATTCTTTTGTGATAAAAACCAAAGCCCACCTTTCCTTGGTTCCTAGTATTTTTGGGCAGGGAATCTGAGGTGATGCTTTGAAGGTGAGCGTCCAGGTCCACAGGACAAAAGCAAGCCTGAGAGGATTAATTCTGGGGACAGAGTGATGATACAGGCCCCCCTCGAAGTGCCTGAAGGGATGCTGCAGGGAAGCCTGACTGGGGAGAGCTGCACAACCCTGCCCCAAGCCTGACTGCAGCCCTGGGCACCCCTAAAGCCCCTTCTCAGGCAGGGAGAGGTGAATGGAGGCAGAGGGGTTGGAAGAAGGGAGGCAGAGCTCGGCCGGCAGCTCACACCAGCCCAGGTTCTGCATGGGCACAAGGGCTGGCCAGGCCGATGGAGCAGGAAGGGGTGACACAGGGTGGTTGGGGGCCCGCTCCTGCTGCCTCCACCCCGGGTGTGTGGCTCAGGGGCTGCCTCTGGATAGTTTAGTCAGGGGGATGCTGGGGGTGCAGGAGCTCCCTGGGTGGCTCCTCTCAGGCCTCATTGCCCCAGAGGTCGGGGCACATTGGTTAATTCCCAGCAGCCAGCTGGGACACGGCAAATAGCAAGTGGTTCCCGATCCTAAGTGAGGCAGAAGGGCTGGAAAAGCGGAGCAGGAGGGAATTACAAGGCCTCTTCTCCCTTTGTGCTCTTGCTGGGAGAGGGAAGGAGGTGTTCTAGCGATCGCCTGTGGAGGATTTGTGAGACTGAACTGCGATCACGTCTCGCTGTTTGGGGGGTACAGGCAGCACCAGTGGGGTCCCTGCCTGAGCACCCTTCCAGGTTTGGAAGGTTTGGTTCAGGATGGGATCCTTGGGCACCGCTGGGCCTTGCCTCAAGCGGTGGTGGTAACACGTTATGTTCAGTGGGAGATGTGGGCTTTCGACGTGCTCTGGCATGGCTGGGTGTGCGCCTGGGGATGCCAGACCTGCCAGTGCCAGCTCAGGCTGTGCGACAGGGTCTGCCATGGGGGATCCTGGCTGGGTACACACACATGCTAACTGCAGCCATCTCCCTGTACCCCTGAAGTTAGGAACTGCCCCGGGGCAGCTCGCTTTCATCCCAGGGCATCCGGGCAGGCTTTCAGGATCCAGGGGGCCACAGCACCCCTCGCCTCAGAGGATGCCTCTGGCTGCCCTCTCCCAGCGAAATGCTGTTTTCATGAATAAAGAATGAGGGAGGAAGCACGGGGCCGCTCCCTTGGGAGCAACTTCCTGCTCGGCCTGGAAATGCTGCTGCTCCGATGATGCTCCCGCCTTTCCAGCCTGCCGGGGGAGAGTTTGGGAGGTGGCGTGGCTCTCCGGGGGGGCTGACTGTGCTGCCAGCAGCCCCAGGATAAGTAAGGGAAGGAGAGGCAGAGGTAACAGATGAGCTACAAAAGCAAGACCCGCCTGCTGTCAGCGGGGATGTGAACTAGCGGAGGGGTTTTTCCCTTTGATGCTAAGCCCTGGCACGCTCTCCTCCATCCCTCTGCACAGCCATCCAGCTTCCAGCGAGCTGAGGCTCTTCCAAGGGAGGGCTGCTTCGGGAGCGCAGAGAGGCGGTGCGGAGGCACGAGCTCAGGATGCAGAGAAGCACCTGCTCCCTCGCACGATGACACATTCTTGAGCTTCTTTTGGGGTTTGGAGGGAACATCTGCTCTGCTCCAACCGGGAGATGCGACGGGGCTGTCAGAGTGAGTCCATCAGTGTCACCGCAGAGCTCCTTGGCTGCATCCTGATGCAGGCAAACCAGGGGCCTGAGGAGCCTCTGGGGTCCCAGGCTCTGCAGAAACGAGGAAATCACAGGGCTGGTCCAGAGTTAGGGTTCATAAAAATGAAAGCGGGTGTTGAGCCCCCTCATCTGCCCAGGCTTCAGGCTGCCTCCTCAACCCAGGAGGGACGCAAGCTGCTTTGTCCCCCAGCCCATTTCGTAGGTAAAGCCGAATGTCTTTTTCTTTCCTGCAATTCCCAGAGGCTCAGAGGGTGACACCAGCAAGAGCCTGGGCCTGAACCTGCCATGTCACCTCCATGGTGTGCATGGCTGGGCTGGGAGCAGCACAACCTGCCAGCGGTTTTCTGGCAAGGCCTCCCTGATCCCCCCCAGCCCCTTTTAGCCACCAAATCCCCCTCCATCACTTCCTCCGTGCTGCATGGAAGCACTGGTCTCCTTCCGAGCACGTTCACTGCAGCCTCTGCCCTCTCTCTGCCCCCAGCTGTGCGCGCAGATCGGATGCGTGGCGGGAGGAACAAGTTTGGACCCATGTACAAGCGGGACCGTGCCTTAAAGCAGCAGAAGAAAGCTCTGATCCGTGCCAACGGCTTCAAGCTGGAGTTTTCATGTCCCCGGTGCAAAACGACTACAGCCTGACCTCCACCATCCACAGCATCCACGCCATGTCCAAGACCTTGCCGCCCAACCCAGCCGCCCTGACACCCATTGACTACGAGCGCAGCCCCTATGGGACACCTTCCCTGGGAATGACTATGCCCAGCCACCCTCCTCTCACCAGCTACCACTACCCCTCCTTCCCCAACCGCACCATCAAGTCCGAGTACCCGGACCACTACACAAACGTGCACGAACCCATGCCCACCTACATGTACCCAGAGACCTACCCCAGCAGCTCCCCTCCTGACATTCCTGATATCATCCTGAAGCTGCTGCAGCTGGAGCCCGACGAGGCCCAGGTCAAGGCGCGGATACTGTCCTGCCTGCAGCAAGAGCAAGGCAAAGGCCGGCACGAGAAGCTCAGCACCTTCGGCCTCATGTGCAAGATGGCTGATCAGACCCTCTTCTCCATCGTGGAGTGGGCACGGAGCTGCATCTTCTTCAAGGAGCTGGAGGTAGGAGCCTGGGCAGGGGAAAGGGATGCTGCCCTGGGTGGGAGATGGGAGGCAGGTAGGATTGGGGCAGAAGTGCTGTAAGGATGAGATGCTGCGGTGGGTTGCAGATCTACTG